TGGAACTTGGGGTTAGGGGAGGTGACCAGACACAAGCCTGGAAATCAAAGAAGGCAGTAAGACCAAGTCGTCACCACCACCTCATCCTTACACAATGGGCATGACAGAAATGGCAAAACATCTTTTGGGGAACCATTACATAGAGTTTTACTCCATTTTACCCACAGAAGGGCTAGCCGAGGCTTGGTGAGGTGGCCGAGGGCTTCTCTTCTCGGGAACTGGAAGGAATGATGGCCGGAGCAAGCAGAGATGTGCCCGTCTCCTGCCCCATCCCCCATATTCTTTTGGTGTGAGGTGCATGGTGCCTCCCAGGCCTCTGGTAAAGTGCTTCTGCTTTACCAGGCTCAGAGTGGCCTTGGTAAAGCCACATGGTTCACTTTGAGTCTCATTTTCTTCCCGTGTCCTATGTGGATGATGAAGCTTGCTTGATTTTTGAAAATCAGAGATACCATGTTCTATGTCAGGAAACTGTACTTCAAGGATATGGTTAGATGCACAAAAGAATAGATGAAAGCAATTATTTTCTTATTTATTATTATCTCTCTCAGGATTATAATGTAATTGAACATAGGGGCATTCACTCCATTAAGTGAGCAGCTACTATATGCCAAGCTCTAGACTTATGTACCATGTTGTTGTTGTTGTTGTTGATTTTCTTTTTGAAATGGGAGTCCGGCTATGTTGCCCAGGCTGGTCTCAAACTCGTGAGCTCAAGCGATCTTCCCACCTGTCTCCAGAGGAGGCTGATTATAGAAGTAGCTGGGATTTCAGGTGTGCACCACTGAGCCCAGCTGGGCTGTGAATCCTCATACCAGTTCCATGGAGAAGGTTCTATTATTATTATTCCCATTTATGAATGAGAAAGATGGGTCTGCCCTCAGGGAGGTGGCTTGCCCAAGGTCACAGGAAGTGGCACATCTGGATCTGACGTTGGATCCCAGGCATTTATATATTATGCAATTCTGACCCTTGGAACTAACAGACTAGTGGGTTTTCTGGCATTCCTGGGGGGTAGTGAGCACCTGGGAAAGGGGGGAAGTGACAGGGCCAGAAAGGGTCATGGTGAGAAACAGAGACCTGGCCTTGGTTTAAAGGTCAGAGAGGGCTCTGGGGTGAGTTGGCAGAGTGGAGAGTGACAGTGCAGTTTGGGGGGCTGTGGCTCTGTGCCTCTGACTCATTCGGAGGGAGCAGCTCCATTCCCTGCCACGGGAGTTGCTATTTATAACTGGCAGGTTCCAGCAGCCTCCTGAGTACATTGCCCTGCAGCTACCTGGGGCCAGTCTCCCTGGGACGCAGGACAAAGAGGGAAAGCAGTGAGAGCCAGCGAGAGGAAGGTCATGGCTGAGCCTCCTCTTTGCTCTGGACTCTCCAAACAGCACAAAATGCACACTTAAGTACCCACTGCGTCACTCTGGGGGTGTCTAGCTTGTCATCCACAGAACAGGTGGCACCTAAGAGGCTCCATGAGTGTATGAATGGATGGAAGGAGCTTCAGCCTTTTCTATTCAGTTAGATCAAATCATTTCTCCACCCCAGCATCTCCAGTGGTTCCTCATCTCATTTGGAATAAAAGCCAAAGTACTTACGGTGGCCCGCAGGCTCATACTTGCCTCCCATCCTCCTCCTCACTCCTTCCTCCAATGGCCTCCTTGCTGACCCTGGAACACCAGGTACATACCTGCCTCGTGGGCTTGGCTGTGACTGTCGCCCCTCGGGGCACTCTTTCCCCACACACTGGCATGTTTTCCTTTCTCATCTTTAGATCTTTGCTCAAACACCAGTTTATCAGTGAGGTCTTCCCTGGCTATTCTATTTCAGATTGCACCCATGCGATACTCTTGCAATACACTTTTTCTTTGTATGGAGTGTGTGGGGGGGGAGGTGTGCCAGGGATTGAACCCCAGGATGCTTAACCACTGAGCCACATCCCCAACCCTTTTTATATTTTATTTTGAGGCAGGGCTTTGCTAAGTTGCTTAGGGCCTCCCTAAGTTGCTCAGGCTGGCTTTGAACTTGGGAACCTTCCTGCCTCAGCTTCCTGAGCCGCTGGGATTATAGGCGCGCACCACTGCGCTGTGCCCAGCAGTATAATATACTTCTTATTCCCTTTTTCTGCTTCATTTTTCTTCAAAGCATTTACCATCATCTTGCATGTCATATATATTACTAACTCATCTTTTTATTGCCTCTCCTTTGTTTAAAAAATGTTTTTTAGTTGTAGATGGACACAATACCTTTATTCATGTATCTTTATGTGATGCTGAGGATCAAACCCAATGCTTCACCAGTGCTAGGCGAGTGCTCTACCACTGAGCCACAAACCCAGCCCTGCCTCTCTCCTTTGACTAGAATTCCAGCTCCAAGAGGATAGAAATTGTTGTCTATTTTGACACTCTTGTATCCCTAGGGCCTAGAACAGTGCCTGGCACCTAGCTGGCACTTAATAAATATCTGGTGTCTGTATGAATTCATGGAGATTTTCACAAGCTTGCTGTGTAATCTTGGGCAGCTAAACTTATGTCTCTGGGCTTCAGTTTGTCAGGTGAGTAGACTTCCAGTTTGGCCAGTCTTTAATAGTTCTGTCCCTGCATCCTGGTTCTTGAGATTTCTCTTCTCAAAATATCCACTAAAAGGAGAGATGGCCACGGCCTGACTTGATGTTTGTCTCCCAGACTGGACTAGACTTCTCTGGGCAAAGTGTTCCAGCTTGTGAGTGGACATGTGCCAGCGAGCCTTGACTGCTTTAGGAGCCTTGAACTGATGCATTAGAGTGAATGGACTTTTGCATGTGTTTGGGGACCTGGCTGAGATGGGGCATTCCAGCAAAATGTCAGCACAGGTCTGCATTCCTTCTGCTTCTCTGTTTTCAGTGAAGCAAAATGTAGAAATTTTCCAAGGCACAGCATACCAATGGAAACACCCACCGCTCTGGAAGCACAAGGGAAGAACCTGTGTGTTGTGAATTCCCATGCCTGTAACAGTCTCTACTTCCCCAGGAGCCAGTGGTGAGAAACTCACACCACTGTGTGAGAAATGCCCACCTTCCATGGAGGGAAGCCTGTAGTATGCCAGACCCATGTTGATAGATTTCATCTGTTCTTACTGGGCAATGGGTCCAACATTGCCCAGGTTTCTAGAACCATCTCTGACGGGGCTCTGGAGTTTATTAGTGTGTTCTCACCCTATCTCAGCTCCTTACAAGATCTCTTCTGTTTTGGCATACCCCTGGGCCTGCAACAGTACACAGTACCTGGCGTCTGGTAGGCATCACTACCTTTGTGTCAGAAGAGCGAATCTTCGTCAATGATGAAAGGCAGGCAATATGATCTTCATTTTACAGATGATGAAACTGGTGCTCCGTGGGGACATGACTTGCCCAAGGTCACACAGACACATGAATCCAGGCAGGCAGCTGGCCCAGGATTACTAGGAAAGTTAACTTCCTCCCACTTGGCTTTCACATTTTGGGAAAATTTCTTTTGAAAAATTCAAAAGGAGGGAGAGAGCTTGGGCATTTGGAAGCCAGAGATGTTGAGTCATATCCCAGCACTCTCATTATCTATCTTTGGATAAATTCTAAAAACCACAGGGCCTCTGTTTTCCCATCTGTAAAACCGACACACTCCTCTCTCCTATACCAAGTCACTGGGAGTACTGTATTCAGCTGGACAATACAGTTCAATGCCTGCCACTGGGCGGTGCTCCATACACTCCAACTCCATCCTGACCTGCCAGGCAGTGCAGGAGCCCTGCTCTCAATCAACGTTCACCTCCTCCGGTGCTCAAGATGGCCAGATTGAAACTCGAAGACCAGATGCAACATCCGGAGCTGGAGAAGCGCTCTAGCAGAGCAGTCCTGCGCATGCGCACTCGCAGCAAGTCCCTTGGTCCGCAGGTGCGAAGCCTGGGGAGCGTCCTCCCCTGGTACCGAGCTCGCCTGCGATTCTTAGGACCGCTATGCTCTCCTTTAAATTAAAGCTCTCCGTCCTGGAGGACCTGGTGTACCTTGATACGGAGAAGGAGGCAGCGAAGAGCTTCTAGAAGCTCAAGGGAGGGTTTTTTAGACCTTGCCATGTCCGAGGGGAGGCATTGCCAGCTGCGTGGGATGTGGACACTCTCAGGTAGAACCGTCCCAAGGGGCAGCCCTTCTCTTTTGTTCAATCAACAAATGAGCGTTCAGGGGCACTGGATCACTGAGCCACATCACCAGCCCTAATTTGTATTTTGTATTTTATTTGTATTCAGGGCTTCAGTGACATGGGGCTTCAGTGACATGGGGCCATCTGGGGAGAGATACATTCCCCTAGGAAATGTAAACTGAGTAGAAATGAGTCTGAGTCAATCTGGAGAAGACCAGAAGAACCTGCAGACCCCAGGGGACGTTGGAGCATGGAGGTTCTCAAGTGGGGAACAGCCTGGATGGTGCAGAGAAGGGACGGTGGAGGGAACAGGGCCGTGTGAAGGATTTTGGACTTGATCCCAAGAGCAGTGGGAAGCCATCGAAGCCGGGGAATAATGTAATCTTTACAGTTCTACACCGAAGAATATTTTTGCTTTGCTTTCACATTCGCCAAAAAAAAAAAAAAAAAGGATTTTGAATTCCACACCTGCCATACTGATTTTTTTTTTTCAGAAATAAGAGAATGATGGAATATGTGTTTATTTTCAGGGTTAAATGTGCTAACAGATGCAAATTGCCTAGCATTTTATATGTGGTCTATAAATGGTAATTCCCTTATCTTTCCTCTAAATTTCATTCCACAATTTCTGCTATTTCAGGAACACTGAACCGATCCTCCCCACAGACTAAAGATAAATTACATTTGAAGGACATTGGATAGATGTGCTTCAAAATTTGATTGGTTCAAAAGATCAAATTTATTACGCAAGGGATGGGGTTGTGGCTCAGTGGCAAAGCGCTTGCCTAGCATGTGTGAGGCACTGGGTTCGATTCTCAGCACCACATATCAATAAATAAAATAAAGGTCCATTGACAACTAAAAAAAATTTTAAATTTATTATGCAAATAGTAAGCTCTTCGTGATCATACAACATATTAATCGATTTATGGAAATGAAATTTGCATTTCACTTTTTGGATGCATATTTATTGCATAAAATAAGACCCCATTCCACAAAGTTGGATTCACATCTCCGTTGTTCCCCATTGTTAGGTCACCACCTTGCTGGCCACAATAGTAGACTTTCAAATAGTTGTTGGGTTGATTTAAATACTGGAAGATATTTCTGCTAAATTTCAAGTCAGGGGAATCAGTTCTGGAGTTTTCTCTTTATAGTTGTTAACATGAATTTTGATGGCATGAGAAAGCTTGTTCTCTGAATTATATTTAGCTCATACAAACTCTACTGCACAATTATGTTGTAAAGAGGAATTAGGTTTTATCTTTAAGTTGTTATTATAGCTTTGGGAAGAGGTGAACATGCAGAATAACTACATAAAGTGGTAGCATATTGTATTATTAATTTTGTTCCTTTTTTTTTTTACCATGGTGTTGGGCCTACAACATACTGATACGTGTGGTAGGTATATCAGGCAGGGTCTGTATAAGAAACAGATGGCACACTCAAAGTAGATAATTAGAGGAGGATTTAATAAAGAGACTATCTGCAAGGTTTGGGCAGGGCACAGGGAAACCATAAGGTTATGTGTAGTACCCAGGGGACTAGTAATAGCCTTTACCACTCCTAGATCTGAAGGTTGAGGGGAGGGAGAGATTTATAGAATCCATTAAAAGAGGGTTGTGTGGGAAGGACAACCTTGAGAAGAAGGGGTGATCTTTTATCAAAAGACACAACCAACCTAAGATGATCTGGCAGGGAGGGAGTTGGGGAAGAGTTATGTCAACCTTATCCTCCTTTTTGGGGGGGTAGGGAGTACTGGGGATTGAACTCAGGAGCACTGGATCACTGAGCCACATCCCCAGCCCTATTTTGTATTTTATTTAGAGACAGGGCCTCACTGAGTTGTTTAGCGCCTCACTTTTGCTGAGGCTGGCTTTGAACTCGAGATTTTCCTGCATCAGCCTCCCGAGCCACAGGGATGACAGGTGTGTGTCATCATGCCCAGCTAACCTCATATTCCTTGTGTCTTTCAGTTTCCTGCTGCTGTCTCCCCTTGGCTATACCCAACAAAGCTAGAGGGCAGTGCAGCAAGTTGGTGTCATTCATATAGGTCAGCACCCCAGGGCAAAGGGCAGGACAGAGAAGGTTAGACAAGTAGGTCTGGAGGAGCAAATGGAAAATATCCAGTACAACAGGTTTCATTTACATGTTGAATAAAGACTTGATATTTCAATCTTTGTGTCTTAGCAAGGCAGGGAAACCTGGGGGGGGATAGGACCATGGCAGCAAGCTTGGGGTTTGCATTGATTTGTTTCTACTGCATACACTACACAAAGCAATTCTGAGAAGCCCAGCAATGACAGAGGGGTCCCAGAAAAGCATCTCATTCTCCTTCCTGCTTGTATTTTTAAGAACGCGTCCCCAGTCTATCAAAGCACTTGTTTAGAGCTCTGAATAGTAAATATGTCCCCACTGGTCTCAAAATTAGATGCTGCTTCCCTGGAAGTAAGAGAGTAGAGGCAAAGCACACGGGTTCTGGATCTTCTGGCTAGCAACTGCCAGTTATGTTCCCTGCCATGTTGGTGCCCTTTAGGTAGCAGCTGCACGGTCATTTTTTTTTTTTTTTTCAAGCAGGAAGACCAGAATAGGATTCATCCCTGCGACTCTGGAAATTGCACCTGCTCTTATGAATGGAGTGGATTTTGGTCTCTCGCGTTGTGAGTCTGGGAAATCATTCCCCTGTTTAATGAGGTCCTTCAGAAAAGGAGGGAACGGGTCTCTTTCAGTGACATGACTTTGACAAGCAAATCAATTCGTTCCATTTGTTTCCTCTTTGAAAACAGCAATCCTCGAGCGTTACATAATCTAATCTTCATGCCTCGCTGGTTTGTTCTGTCCTCCTGAGGAATTGGCAGATGGTGCCAATGCGGAGACCCGCGCACACGCCTCGCAAGCCTCATGGTAACAGGAGCGTTGCTCACAGTGTCTGTCTCTCTGCTGTGGGGTCCCTCGCTGGCATTTGTTTCTCTGGATCAGTTTGCTCTTTAGCATTCCTCGGGCACTGCTGGCTTCTTGCCTTGGGCTCTCATTCCAAGATTAATTGGAAAGGCTGAAAGCAGATAAAAAGAGAACAGAGAGTGAAGTTGAAAGGGCAGAGAATTGGTGGGATTTTTGTCTAAAAACCCTCCTCCGTTCAAAGCTGAGTGTCTCTGGAGATCATAGTGCAGACTCTGACTTCTTCATTCAGCTTGGCCCTTGTGTACATCCTTGTTGCTGGGTTACACATAAGTACAGGGACAGGGCTGGCTGTGTCAGAGACAGGAAAGGAGAGATCTGCTTGATGAGGACTTGGACTCCTGTCTCTAAAAGTGAGTCACATACCTGCAGAATCAATTGTTCCCCAGATAGGCAGCTGCCTGGAATCCACCTTTACGTCAGTGATGTCACCTTCACTAAGGGAAGATTATGTCAGGACTGTAACGTGAGGAGCCTCGTCAGACAGAACTCCAATATTTAGGTGTCTTTGCAAAGTCACTGCCTCTACAACTCATTAAAAATAAATGAATAAATAAATAATGCCTGCAAATGGCAGTTTTATTTTACCTTTTCTTTTTCTTTTTTCAGTAAAGAGGATTGAAGTCAGGGTCACTCTACCACTGAGCTACATCCCGAGCCCTTTTTATTTTTATTTTTAAAATTTTAAGTCAGGGTCTTGCTAAGTTGCTGAGGCTGGCCTTGAGTCTGGGATCCTCCTACTTCAGCCTCCCAAGTTGCAAAGATTACATGCATGCGCTCAAGTGGCAGCCTTCGGGGAAGCCAAGGCATCCTGGACATTTTGTGATTGGTCTAATCCTAACAATTCTGAGGCCCAGAAGTCAGCTGACATGCTCTGCACTACCTTTGAGTTGTTAAAACACTGAAATACTTCCATACTCATTGGTAAATATATGAGCTTCCCACTGCCTCCCAATCCTCTGCTATTTTTTTTTTTAAATACCTGGGGTTGAATCTAGGGGTCTTAACCACTGAGCCACATCCCCAGTCCTTTTATATTCTTATTGTGAGTCAGGGTCTCGCTAAGTTGCTTAGGGCCTCGCTAAGTTGATGAGGCTGGCTTTGAACTCACCATCTTGCAGGCACGCGCCACTACACGCGGCTCCTCTGCTAATTCTTAAGTGTTGACAGAATCTTATTTTAGGTGATTTCGTGAGTGGCTCTACCTTTCTGTGCAGCAGCCTGAGAGCTTCCTTTGCTGAACGTATTTTGTTTCTAGTCATGCAGTACCAGTAGGTCTGCTTGGTGCAGGGCCAGGCACGTTTCCAAGTGCCACAGATGTAACCGCCCTGCTCACAGACTGCACTGTCGGCTGACTCTGATTTTGGATGGAATCTCCAGGCAATTAAAACACAGAACCCTCCTGCCTGTGGCAAAACCATGGCTGGTCCTTAAAGGTCACCTACACCTTTATGCTTGCTGGTCACTCAGGGGCTAGGTTTATACAGCAGAAATGACCTAGGCCCTGAGTTCTAAAGGAGAAAAACAACCCATATTGAATATCCTTTGAATTCCTACCTCTAAAGTGAGTCCACACAGGGGACTAATTTCTATAAAAACAATAATGTTTTGCTTCTTTTCATTTGCTATCCTTTTGCTAAATGTTAGATGAGCACCTATTATGGTATTAGTGTTCACCACTGGGCTGGGTGTAGGATATCCAGTAGTGAATAAAACAGACCTTATCTCTGCTTTCATGGAACATACAGTCTAGAGGGGGAAACAGTAAAGGAGGCCACTGTGGAGTGACGTTAGGTCATCTGAACTGGGTTGAATTTCATCTAATGGAAACTGTGTAGATGTAATGGTCGACTTTCGCTGTTTTGCACAGTTATCATATGTATCTCATTGCTAGAGTCCTGGGGTATATGGAATCAGTATTAAAAAGTCAAGACAGTGGGGGGGGGGGTCATTTCCTGTACCAGCCAAGATTCCAGAGAGGCTGAGAACTGCTCTGTATTAGGGAAAGGAAAGAGGGAATGTTCTGAATGAGAAATGGTGGTGTTGGTATGTTCTAATAGCTGGAGATCAGGTGTGCTGTTTTGTTTTTGTTTTGTTTCTTGATGGTGCTAGAGATTGAACCCAGGACCTTGTGTATACTAGACAAGTGCTCTACCACTGAGCTACACGCTAGTCCAGATGTGATGGTTTTTTGTTTGTTTGTTTTTGGATCAGGGATTGAATCCGGGGGCTCTCAACCACTGAACCACATCCCAAGCCCTTTTTTTAAAAAAAAAATTTTTGGAGTTGTAAATGGGCAGAATACCTTTGTTTGTTTATTTTTATGTGGTGCTGAGGATCAAACCAGTGCCTCCCACACGCTAGGCAAGCGCTCTGACACTGAGCTACAGCCCTAACCCTCCCAAGCCCTTTTTTATTTTTTATTTTGAGACAAGGTCTTACTAAGTTGCTTAGGGCCTCACTATGTTGCTGAGGCTGGCCTTGAACTTGTGATCCTCCTGCCTCAGCCTCCCAGGCTGCTGGGATCATTGGTGTGGGCCATCACACCCAGCAAAGTGTGCTGAAGATATAATTTCTGGGCTGTGGTTGTAGCTCAGTGGTAGATCATTTGCCTAGCACATGTGAGGCACTGGGTTCGATCCTCAGCACCACTTAAAAATAAATAAATAAAATGAAGGTATTGTGTCCATCTATGACTAAAAAAATATATATACATTAAAAAAAAGAAGATATAACTTCTGACCAATCAGTCGTCTGTAGGGAGTAGAATTTCCCTCATCTATGCTTTTTCTCTCCTTCACCCTTGTAACCAAGTGAGTTCTGTAGCCACTATTTTGAAAATCATTAATCATGCCCCTAGGACAGTCTAGTAGTTGGTCATACTTGTCGGTATTAATTATTTTTGATCCATCTGTCTTGCTTGTTTTTCTTTTTATTATTATTTATACACAGCGAGATATACAGTCTTAAGTGTGCCATTCAATTTTGACCCATGCATATTTTGTAACCTCCATGTCTTTTTATTTTATTTGAAAATTCTTGGAATCCTCTTAAGTGATGAACATGTAGGTCCAAAGGCAGATTTTTGGAGAGGAATCTTCTATTTAGTATGCTGACTGTCCCCTCACCCCCCAAAAGAAAATTCTCCTTCAATCCTTTCCTGTATTCTCCAATCACCACAGAGGACATAAAACCATAAGAACATTTTGTAATCCTCGCTTTCTGAAACCTAACAGAGAGATTTTGTCATCTGAAAACAAGGGAGGATTAACTGCAGATTTTTGATTCTGACAACGGCAGAAAGGAATGAGTTAGACAAGGGACGTCACAGAGAATTAATTCAAGTTCCAAGTGTGACTGCTCCATCACCTTTTCCAAGACTCTGCACATGACATAAAGTCTCAGTCAGGAAGGAAGAGTTTTTAAAGGAGTTTGCTACAGGGACATGGCATTATTGGAACTGTTAAATGAGAGATCCATGCACCTATTATGAATGTGGCCCCCAACCCTGGCTTACTCCTTCTGAACGGATTCTCCCTAAAAATGAGACATAAAGACAATTATATGCAGCCCTTGCTAGACTGATGCTGTGGTCCCATCTCGATTTAATTGCCCGTGCATTCTGCGAAGATGTCTTTTTCGTGCTCCAGAATAACTCTCCTTTGGCATAATTTTCACCCGACTGTTAAACAAATAGTATAACAACATGCAATTAGTTAATAATTACAATTTGTGTATCACCTAAAGGCGAGTGTGAGGCTTCATGTGAAAGTGCTTCTGAAGCTAGCAAGGTATGTACAATCCAGAAGGATTATTTTAAAATTATTTCTACATGGTAGGATACTTTGTAGGAATTACGGTGCCATTATATCTCACCATCAGTGAGGCAAGCTATTTTCATTTTCTGTATCCGAGATTTTCCAGATGTCTTAATGATGATATTTCTGAAATATTTCCTGAATCTGACCCAGCTTCTACATTTAGCCCTCATTACCTCCCCTCCAGACTTAAAAGTCCTTGAAGGCATGATATTCACTTATTTATTACTCTATTCCAAAATTTAGCACATGAAGGGTATTCAATAATTGCTATTAATTGAATAAACCTACTTGGCCTTGCCTTCAGTGTCCTTCTAATCTGCCCCCAAATATATCAGCATTATCTTCAAAACCAGGTCTAAGAAGGGTGCTATGGTGCATACCTTATATCCCAGTGATTCAGGAAGCTGAGGCAGGAGGATCACAAGGTCAAAGTCAGCCTCTGTCTCAAAAAAAAAAAAATTAGGGCTGAGGTGGTGGCTCAGTTGGAGAGCACTTGCCTAGCATGTGTGAGGCACTGAGTTCGATTCTTAGCACCACATATAAATTAATAAATAAATAAAGGTCCATCAACAACTGAAAAAATATTTTTAAAAAAATTAAAATTAAAAAGGATTGGACGTAGCTCAATGGCAGAGCACCCCTGGGTTCAATCCCAGTACCACAAAAACAAACGCACACAGTCCTGCCTGCATATGATATGAGCTACAGACCTTCAAGGATTCTCCATTGCCTGTAAAATAAAGTGCAAACTCCTGAATGGCACGTTCCAGATCCTTCACAGTCTAGTTCCTAAGCACTTTTCCAGGCCCATCTCCTAGCCCTTATTCTCCCTCCTCCCTTCAACAATGATCCCCAAGCACACCAGGCGGGTTCACAGTCCCAAGCCTTTGCTTAGGCTGTTCCCTCTGCTTGGAACGACCTTCCTCTGACCCTCCTTATTCATCTGATAGAATCCACTTCTTCAGAAAGCAGCTCAAATGTCACTTCCTCTGCTGCCTTCTCTAACTCCCTGAAGGTTCTGTTTTGTGTTCTCCTATAAGGTAACCTGCTCTCATATAACCTAACACCCTTACTGTGTGTTTTCCTGTCTTATTAGAGTTGGTTTTTTTCCTCTTCCTTTTTCTCTCTTTACAATTCCTTTTGCAGGTGCCATAGTAGTTAACCCATACCTTGGGTTCAATACCTGACTGGCTCTGAGGTTCCATGCTTGCCGTCCAACAAGTGACCTCTGCAAAGCAGCCAATGAGATTTTAATAACATACACAACCATGTGCCACTCCTCTATACAAACCCACTAGTGGCTTGCTATCTGGTCGGAAAGAAACCCAGAGCCCTTGTGTTTCTGGCCCCGGCCTTCCTCTTCAGCTCCTTCTCTCCCACCTCCTTGCTCACTCCAACCCTCCTTGCAGCTCCTTGAAAATACCAAGCTGTTTCCTCCTCAGGACATTTGAATGTCTTCCCTCTGCCAGGAAAGCTCTTCCCCCAGCTGTATATACATGACTTGCTTCTTCACTTCGTTTTAGTTTCTGCTCAAATGATCTCTCTGCAGAGACCTTCCTTCCTTAGACAAGGTCTAAACTAGCACTGTCTGGGCTGTGAGTGTGGCTCAGTGGTAGAGTGCTTGTCCAGCATGTGGGAGGGGATTCCTGGCACCATTAAATAAATAAAAAAAACTCGGACAGTCCATTTAAGCTCAGTGTTGTTGGTCTGTTTTTTATAGTACTAGGGATAGATCACAAGGGCATTTTACCACTCAGCTACATTCCTAGACCTTTTTATTTTATTTTGACAGGGTCTTGCTAAATTGCTGAGGCTGGCCTAGAACTTGTGATTCTACAGCTGCCTCATTCTCCCAAGTTGCTGGGATCACAGGTGTATACCACCATGCCCAGTTTAAGTTCTTTTTTTCTTCTTTTTCTTTTTCTTCTTCTTTTTTTTTTTTTTAAGTACTGGGGATTAAACCCAAGGGGACTTAACCACTGAGCCATATCCCCAGCTCTTTTTATTTTATTTTATTTTAATTTTGAGACAGGGTCTCACTAAGTTGTTTAGGGCTTCACTAAGTTGCTGAAGCTGGCTTTGAACTTTCAATCTTCTTGCCAAGCCACAGGGATTACAGGTGTGCACCACTGCGCCTGGCTCTAAGTTCTGTCTTGTTACCTGCTTTATTCCTTTTTGTGGCACTGCATACTATCAATTTGCCACCATTAATTTCCTACAACTTATTTTGTTTGTCACCATATCCCTCTTCCTTAGAATAGCGCCTGTCATGGCTAGGGGATATACCTTAGTGGTAGAGTGCTTATGTAGCATGCATGAGACCCTGAGTTCTATCCCTTGCTCCTATCCCGAGCTCTGCCAGGATAAAGCGAGGGGACAGAGGGGGGCCGGGGAGAAAGAGAGAAAGAAATAGTGCCTGGTAAATAACAAGCACTCAAGTATATATCTGTTGAATAAATGGATGATTTTTAAAATATTTTATTTTATTTTTTGTACAAGGGATAGAACCCAGGGGCCCTTAACCACTGAGCCACATCCCCAGCACCCTCTGTTTTAAAGGCTAGTTTCTTTCTTTCTTTTTTTTAGTTGTTGATGGACCTTTAATTAATTAATTAATTTCAATTTGGTGCTGGTATTCAAACCCAGTGCCCCACACATGCTAGGCAAGTGCTCTACCACTGAGCTAAGGGCCTTGCTAAGATGCTGAGGCTGGCTTTGAACTTGCAGTCCTCCTGCCTCAGCCTCCCTAGCAGCTGGGATTACAGGTGTGTGCCACCATGCCTGGCTGGGATGAATTTTGGAAGTCAGGTACCTAGCACAGTGCCTGGTTGCACAAATATTGGATAAATAAATGATCAAATTAATAAATTTTGTAAATGAAATGGAATTCTAGCATACATGCAGGATCATCTGGGATACAAGTGTAGATGTTCGATTCATTTGCTCTGTGAAGATAATTTTGATTTCTGGCATTTGCTCTAATAATCACAGGGGATCTAGCCAGGTTCTTTACCTTCCAGAAACGAGTCATTGACAGAGGTGTTGCCCAAGAATATTTAGGGGATTTCAGAAAGGTACCCAAAGAATGGCAGAGCAAGGATTTAGACTACCCATCAGCCCACTGCCTCTCATCAGCTTCTGAGGGATTCTGCTAAGGTACTTTATCTCCTGTGATTTATATTGAATGTACATTTGTTTTTAATCCTGCTTAACACTGATTATTCTGAGGGCTGGAACAGGTCAAGACATTAACTGACCCCAAACTCTGAGAGGCTGGACCCTTTACACCCCGCATATCTGAGGGGACATTGCAGTGAGTCTTTAGGGCTGCTCCCTCCACCCCCAGCCTGCCTCAGTTACTTGTGACTAAGAACCAAATGGCTTTGATGGCAATTCAGTCCCTTATAGTAGGTGAATTGGGGAGCAATTTGCCATACTTTCCTTTTTCATTTTGGCCTCTGGGTAGTTATTTACCCTGCCCATTCCATTTTTCTTAATTTCTGGCATATGCATGAGTGAAGGAAGCAGACAGTGCAGAGACTAGGGATCCCGTGGCACAAATGAAGCATATGTAATATGGGCAGCCTACATATCTATCTTTTGGCTTTTTGGGGTGGGGTACTGGGGATGGAACTAGTAAGGGCATTCTACCACTGGGCTACATCTCTGACCTTTTTTAAAATTTGAGACTCACTAAGTTGCCCAGGCTGGTCTTCAACTTGTGATCCTCCTGCCTCAGCCTCCTGAGTAGCTAAATTACAGGTTTGCACCACCCTGCCAGCCCATGGATCCTTCTAAGAGGCTAAGCAGTGATCAGACTGTGGATAGCGTTTGGGCCAGAAACCAGAACAGGGAGAGCTGGGGAGGTTTCCCAATCCCTGAATCTCAAGCATCTCATTACTAAACAAGAGTTGTAGATGGGGCCTGAGGAAGTGCAGAGAAAAGAGAACAGGCTAACTGAATGTGTGCTTTGTCCAAGCACTGGACTAGTTCAAGATGTCATCTGATGTCACAAGGAAGTTAGTTATGATTATCATCTGCACTTTATAGAAGAGGAAAACAAGGCTTAGAGGAGTTGATGACACTTGCCCAACATACTCAGATGGTAAGCCTCAGCTGGGACTTGAGATTCAAACCAGCCCTGCTTGACTCCTGGTTGTCTACGAAGAGCAAGAATCTCCCTAGCAGATACAAGGGTGGGAAGAGGGGTGGGCAAGAGAGGCAGCAAATGGGTCCCACCTGAGACTTGATCATCATCATGCACCTCCTAGACAGGTACTTTAGCAGGTGCCACCTGACTTGTGTTCTGTTCTTAGAATTGAAATTTCTATAGCTGACTTACCAAGGCCATCGAAGTCCCACAGAATGGTATTGCGCCCCACGGAATGAAGCCTTTCCTTACAGCATGTCCTTCCATGCCATTCTGGCTCCTGCGTTTATACGCAGTGGTGTCACAGGGTGCCTTCATCCTCCTTGGCTCTTTGGTTCCCTGCGCCTCTTTCATCCTCTTGCCAAAGTTGTACCCCCTGAAGAGTGTATCCTGCCTACACTTTGGGGTTCGGGTGGTTCCGGGGTACTGTGGAAGCTTCCGGGCGTGATAAGGATTGCTGCGGACGCGACTAGGGTCTCGGCCTCTTTGGGGCGGTTCGCCAAGCCCCTTTCCTTGCGCTCGCCGCTGCGCGCCGCAGCGCCCCCTTCACCACCAGGGGCCGCCCGGAAGCGGGACTCCCCGAGCGCTGGGCGGGGAAAGGGGCGGGGCGCGGCGGTACCTGGGCCGCCCGAGAGCTGGGGGTGGGTTCTCGGGGGACAGCAGGCAGCCCCCCCAGATCTGTACCGCCAGCCGCCGGGAGCTCGGGGCTCCGGGCGTAGAGGCTGCGCTGTCACATGGGCGGTGGCGACGGGGCCGCATTTAAGCGGCCGGGGGACGGCGCCCGCCTCCAGCGCGTCCTCGGGCTTGGCTCCCGCCGGGCGCCCCGCTCTCTGCCCTCCGGGGGCCCCGCGCAGCGCCGCACCGCGCCGCCCCCGCCGGGCCATGCGAGCGCGGGCCCCGCCGCGATGAGCTCGCACATCGCCAAAAGCGAGTCCAAGACGTCGCTGCTGAAGGCGGCGGCAGCGAGCGGGGGCAGCCGGGCTCCCCGCCACGGCCCTGCCCGGGAGCCGGGGCTGCCTGGCCGCCGGCTGCCCGGAGCCTGTCCGAGCACGCCGCCGCCGTCCGGGGACCCCAGTTCGCGGAGGCCCCTGTGCCGGCCGGTGCCGCGAGAGGAGGGCGCGCGGGGGAGCCGGCGCGGGCTCCCCCAGGCGCACTGCAGGCCCCGGGAGGCGCTGCCGGCTGCGGCGTCCCGACGTTCGCCGCCGTCGCCGCTGCCGCCAGCCCGCGGACGGGATGGGGAGGAACGGGGGCTGTCCCCGGCGCTCGGCCTCCGGGGCTCACTGCGAGCCCCGGGTCGCGGGGACTCCGCTCCAGCCGCAGCGACTGAGGCGGACCCGTTCCTCCACCGGCTGCACCCCATGCTCAGCTCCGCCTTCGGCCAGGTAAGGGCCGCGCCTCCCGCTCGCACTCCAGGGAAAGGTGCTCGGGACCCTGCTGCTGCGGCGCGTCCACGACCCTACTCCCGCTGCCCGTGGTCCCCAGGTCACGCCTCGGCTCCCGCTGTCATCCCGCGGCCCGGCGCCCTTGCGGGCCGGCACTCTTCCACCCCCGTGCCTGATTCAGCACCCTGTGCGCTGTCCACGCTCCGGGTCTCTTGTGGGCGAGGCACCGCCACTTAGCCTTCCTCACACCTGCCCGAACCGCTAGTCCTGGAAGGGAGAGACCTCCACAACCCTCCTGGAGATCTGTGGGGTCACAGAGGAGCGCTCCGAGCAGATGGCGCCAAACCCACTGCTCCGGCCTCTGGCCAGTATCGCCAGGGAGCAACCCAAGAGAGCAAGGGATTTGGAGCAAGGGGAGGGAGGCTTGGGTCACACAGGCTTGTTTGGAGATGAGGGACTCTAGCCATTGCCTATAGCGTCTTCAAAGGCCTGGAAAAAGTTAGGAAAATCAAAAATATGAGGAAAGAGAAGAGGTGTCTGGGTAGACATGGGGGCGGGGGTCTAGAGCTATGGCTCAAACTGGAACTTTGAGGTGTTTTAAGGAGGTTGTCACTCCAGGATGCCACTAGGACGGCAGTTGGGCAGTTGTGGATTTGTAGGATGTGGAATAACACTCAGAGAACTCTAGCATGAGTTGGGGTGCATCTTAAGGTCAGAAAAGCCACTAAGAGGTCACCAGTGGCTCTTTGGTTTCCTCAAGGGCCCTAGGGAGCTGGACATCTGCCCTTTAAAAAGCTTTGTGGTCACAATTCAGGCCTACAGTTTGTGATTGTGTGGCTGGGGAGACAGGAACCTCTGAACTCCTGAACAAAGCCAGAATTTCCTCTAGTTCTGAGTCTGTAATCAAGTCGAACTCACTGGCAGGGCATTGAGACAGTTCTGCGGCAGCCAAGAGGTGTAATGCAGAGGTCTGATCAAAGCGTTTGCTTAGTTTGTTGGGGACACTGGGGTGTGTGCTAGGATCTAGAGCAAAGAAGCCGCCTCAAGCTCCTGGCTTGTCATGCTGGATCAACATTCTAAGGAGGCCGTGTGTGTGTTTTGCTTCAGATCTGCACATTTCTTTTCAAAATACTACTCCGCAGTGGCTGATGCCGGTCTGAGGTCTGACATGAAGGCAGCTGCACATGGATTCAGGTTGCGCGGGCCTGCTCTGGTGGTGTGATGGGGCAGCAGCGTGTGGCTTTGTTCCTGCAGGGAGCCCTCATTAGTCAAGTGAGCTGGGAACAGTTCTCTGGAGTACAGATCTGGATGCAGAGCCATGAAGAGTTAGAGCAGTGACAGACTGAAGGAGAAGTTCACTGCAGTGGCTTTTGTTTTAGGAGGTGTGGGGTATTAAGTCAGGAGTGGTCTGTGGATTGGGACTGGCTTGCAACACAAAAGCTGTGTGTTGTTCAATAAAAATTCATTCATTTATCAAATATCTTTTGAGCCCCTACTTTGCCCAGGCGTTTACGGAACACTAGGGAGACAACAGTGAACGAGAGAGCCAGGATTCTGGCTATTTGGGGGCTTATGATCTAGCAGTTTGGAAGGCCTGGAATCATACACTTCCTGGTTATTCAGTTTGCTGGTGATCTGACTCAGCTCCTGGAAAAAGAACCCTTGCTTCCCAGCTTTGCAGAATTTTGCCCGCATGAGCCCATTCTGAGCTCAGAGCACTGCATCTACATGCTTTAGTTCCTCCTTCTAATTCCCCAGTCATTAAATGAAGAACATTCTCCAGCCCCATGTTCTGAAATGTCACCAGGGTCATCTGAGTCAGGAGGAGCAGGAAGGTCCCATCAAATATTTAGTACCTTCCTTTGGAAGCTCCTGCCTCTTAGAGATGTGGGCTTTTTCTTTTAAAGCCCAGCACATTCAGTTTGGGCTTCCTGCTGGCACCTCAAAGGCATCTGTTTGAATAACAACAGTAACAGGCTGGGACTTTGGTGTCAGAGCCTCCAGCCTCCTGTGACAGAGAGGAATTAGTCTTTCTTTCCCAGCTCTGTCTGTGTTGAGATTTCTGTCCTTTGAGACAGGGTGGGGGCCCAGAGAAGGTAAATGGGGGGAAGGTTCTGAATACAAACTTTCAGATAGGATCTACTTAGGGCAAAATATATTTGGAGAAGTTTATTTTTCATGTCTCTCAAGTTCTAATTTTTTTTGTTGGTTTGTTTTTTCATTCTGTAACTTGTAATCTTACTAAGGCTCTTTGCTTGCCTGAAAAATAGAGAATACTCATAGTGCCTCAAGGAGATGTTTGGAAGGTTAAATGAGATATGAGCTTTGTATGGAGCATGGTCCAGTGCATAAACTCTCTGTGTTAGTTATTATTATTATTGTTAATTAACTACCAAGGGCATTTTCTTTCTGAGAGCCAGGTTCAACGTGACAATGGAGGTAGACTCCTACATTTGGGGAAATAGGAATTAAGATTCTTCCAAAGACCTCATGGAGCATTCTTACTGTCTGCAGGGAGACAGTGTAGATTTGGGGCTAAGGTGTCAAAGTGTGGTTTGGAAGATAGTAGAGCTGAAGGCTCCAGTCCCAGCTCTGTGACCTTAGCATGTCATTTTATCTCTCCAAGGTTTCTTCATCCAGAAATGAGATTGACAAAAACTCCCTTGTGAGTTATTGTGAAGCTTACACAGGATTAAGGGCAGCCTCTATTAATGTTATTGCTCTTTTTTCTTTTAAAATATTTATTTTTTTAGTTGTAGTTAGACACAATATGTTTATTGTGCTGAGGATCAAACCCAGGTCCTCATACGCACTAGGTGAGCACTCTACCGCTGAGCCACAATCCCAGCCCTGTTATTGCTCTTTTTAATAGACTAATTGAATAAGGGTCTATGTAAGGTGTTTTGAAAGCTGCCTCTGAGCTGGGTGAGGAAAGCCTATTAAGAGAGGAGCAGAGTGTCCTTCCCAGATTTCCTCTCTGTTGCCTGCTAAGGACATGCCACCTAGCTGCCTAAAGAGAAGATGTGGGTGTCAGAAATTAGCTCAGAATAAGCATGACCTAGGGCTTTGGGTCTTGGAAGATTATTTCATGTACAGACCTTCTGTTCTTACTCTTAAGCCCTTGTAGAGGAAGCAGATGTGAATCAAGCCCATAGCTGATTTGGGAAGGCTGACTGAGTTTCCATACTGCTTTACACATAACTAGATCACAGTAATTTTATGAGTGAATCAATGAATGAATGAATGGTGTCATAAGCCTCTGGACTTCAGAGGTTTCTTAGTTCCTCTGGTTTAGATGGGGAGAGAGGTCATGTGATTTGTGTTCTAATGGATTCAACCACAACAGGCCTGTAGTCCTAGAATGAGGGCTGTGAGTATTCCTCATTCCTGCCCAGATTGAGTGTCCTCTGATGCCTTTCCTCTGGTGCCTGAGGATGGGGAAAGAGAAGGTCAGTTTGTGGTTAGCATCCATCACTGATGCTAGGAGTGGCCTCCATCAGTTGGGTGAGAGTCCTCCACGGTATCTGCATTTGCTTCTGGATTTTGCTGCGAGAAACAAGAGTACTTGAGGCCTCAGTCTAGATCCCACCAAACCATTGTCAAAGTGTGTTGTCATTATCTTCACAGCAACCTGAGAAGGTTGGTATTGTCATCCCCCTCTTTAGAGATGAGGAAAGGGCTCAAGAGAGGGGAGTGACTTGTCCAAAGTGACACAGTAAATAAATGGCAGGACTGCCTGTCTCCAAACACACCTGCCTGTGCTGTACCATGCTGGCAGGGTGGAAAGTCACTTATCTGTGTTCCCTGGTTGTCGGAAGAATCCACAGAGCACCTCTCAGGTTACCACCCAGCTTTCCCCAGGCATTTTACCACTGGGCTGGCGTCCAAGTTCAAATGCTAGTGATAGAACTGATCAGGATGGGAGGCCAGCCTCCCCCCTAATCAGGAATAATCAGCAACGGGTTTATCCTTCTCATCCCTCTGATCCTATTATTCCATTCCAGAACTCGAAGCGTGGCTTCTGGAAGGCCCAGGGACTGCAGCTTTGTGAATGAAGATAGTGGGGGACACACAATGTGCTTCACTCCCCAGAGGAAGCCCTCACCCCTCAGCCCTTTTTGATTTCCTTTAGAAGATCAAACCATTTATCTGCCCACTGCCCAACTCAGGTTTAAGGAAGCTCCTGT